GGAACCCTAGATAACTCTGAACCATTTAACTTCAAACATTTAAAATGGGGTTCTGTACAATTAGGATAAGCTGGTAAGTTTTAGATAAATTAATGGATGGAGAAGAATTATGATGGACTGGTAGACACATATGGAGGATAACTACATTGACCTATAGAATGGCTCTTTGAGGCCCCTCATAAAGGTTAAAAATGGATTGAGGAGACTAGTGTGACTTAGGACAATTTTAAAAACATCTAAATACTGTCCTGAGAATATTTATTTATTTATTTATTTATTTATTTATTTTAAATCAATCTTTATTGTTCATATTATTACAAAGGTTCCTCATTTCTTCCCCCCTCCACCAGGTACCCACCCCACCCTCTGCCCTTTCCCCACCTCCCATTGTCCTCATCCATAGGTGCACAGTTTATGTTCTGTCCTGAGAATTTTTAGAAACCAAGACTTGGCTTTGTCACCTACAGTATGTTTTAATTTTGGTATTTCTGATCCACAGTATATGATGCTTTGAGTTACCAAGAATTGGATTTGGATTTTAGTAATCTATTCTCTTTCTCTGCCCCCTAGATGACTACAGCCTACATTTTCCAGATGCCTAGGTAAAACTAGGTGACAATCTAAAGCTAAAAGTCATGTCCAGCTCTTTAACCCATGATTTTGGGCTTATCATACCTTCAAATGTCTGTGAGAAAAATATAAAATTTGTAACTTTGAAAGTGCATATTTCTAATTAAGGTTGCGACTTTAAAGTTCCAGTAGCATCTTTTAAAAATAATGCTGTTATAAGCAAAGCCCACAAATAAAAAGTCGTATTTTTTCCTGCTAAAATTCTTTCAGAGTAGTATCAAACAGAACAGCTGACTCCTCAAATTAATGAGAGTGTGTGAGAAGGAAAGACCACATGTCCATTAGAGCTATACATTAGTCTGATTTAGTCATAATTCATGATAAAGCCATTAACTTTATTTTTTTGTGTTCAGTAATCATTTTGTTAATGAGTAGTTTGTTTTGATCAATTTTTCACTGATTGTAACAACTCAACCCAGAATATTTTTTAAGTTTTTCATTTACATTTATAAACATTTTTGTAGAAGTATGATAGGATAATTAAAATATGTTCAAGGGTGAAAATATTTTAAAATTAAGTGGAATGGAAATAGAGGTCTAGGGAGAAAACAATGTAAAATATCTAGAAATTCCTTTTTAAATTAATGGATGATGATAGCTATCAAACTACTCTAATACCTATATTATACTGGGTATACTTTTCAAAGACTAATATAAAAGTTATTTTTAAGTATGCTGGAAATTATATCCTTTAGAACTAAACTTATAACAAATTTATATCAATTTAGAAATATGTAAAGAGTAGTTTACCTACTAGTTTTTCAAAATCTGTGGGGGTTATGGAATCATAAAGCTTGAAGGCCACTGATATATAGTCTCAAGCTTCAGAAGCATGCTTTAGTACTCTTATATAGTCCCTCACCTGTAGTTTAGTTTGATCACCAAACTCAATCACCCTAGAGATTTTTAACTTACCCATTCTCTAGGAGAAATTACAAACTAAAAGAACAATGGGGGTAAAGGAAGCAGATTATTTTCTAATTATCCAGACCAAGAGCTTCAAAAAATGATTGACTCTGCATTCTCTCTAAACAGTAAAAATTTAGGTTTTATTAGCATAAGAGTTTTATGTTTTAAAATGCCTTGACAATCTGTATCAGTTTTAACCAGTTAACTACTACATGTCCAAAATGGGATGATATTGGAATTTCTTCCATGTGTGCTGGGATATTTATGCATTTAAGTTACCATAATTTTCTTTACAAACCCAGAGATGTCACTAACAAGTCTGATTTTAAAATTGGGTGACCAGAGTTGGTATGCAAGGTTTGCAGCTATAGATGTGCGTGGCATGTGGCTGGCGTCCAAAGACGCTTATGGCATACAAAAGGTTAAAGTCTGGCATGGTATTCCATAATTCCATTGTATGGCTATTCCATAATGTAACCTTTAACATATTGGTGAACATTTATCCATTGCTCAATATTTTATCAATGCAGTGCTTTAATGAACATTGTTATTCTTACATCTTTATCCACCCCTGCTTTGTTTCTTAGGACTCATTACTTTTAGAATGTTTGGATCAAAGAAAATGCACATATTATAATAAGTTTTTGTAAATACTACAAATATTGATAATTTCTATAAAATATCCAAAAGAAACCTACCAACAAACCCACCGAACAATAGAGCGCACCCATTTCTCTTATCTAACTGTAGATACTATCAGACTTTTGACTTTTTTTGCAAAAGACTTAACATACACACCAAAATGAGAATGATTTTTACCTTAATGAGGCTGTCGTGATTTTTCTATTTAAATTGCAATGCATGACCCCTAGCATTCCTAATTCCCTCTAAATTATTTTTCCTGTATCATGTACCATTTTCCTAGCATTGTATTATTTACCTCCCCTTATTCTAGTCTGTAAACTCCAAAAAGGCTAAGTTTTTGTTTTTTCTCTCTTTTGTTCACTAATTACTAGTGCCTGGCACATGGTAGACAGAATTAAATGACGTGACAATTTTAGGATAAACATGAATTTCAGCCATAGCTGGCATGTTTCTTCTTTGGCCCATCTGTGTCTGATGTTACACACATCTTCCCAATGAGAAAGTACCCTGAGAGCGGCCACAGCTTCTCAGGCCATGTTACACCTACACAACACCTAGGTTTGGCTATTAGCAGGCCATCTGGAGGAAATTAATGTTCCTTCCTACTCTGACTCCTCAGGCAGTTGACTATCAAGACAGTGTAGCTTTGCCGATGTGGCCATCCAGCCACCACCATGCTTATTTTAGCCCTTCCCTTCCTGTTTCTCTCCTGCCAATGCCTGAGGGGACGTAGGAGCAAGAACCAGCCCTAGTAAAGCATTCCACCCAGGTAAGGGATGGCACCCATTTGCCCCACTCCGGGCCTTTGGCCCCACACCCTTTCCCATAACACTGGCACTTAGTCAAACTGAGAACTAAGGTTTGGTGGAGCACCAGGTTTCACTGTTTTCCTCCAGCCAGAATTTGGAGGAAATTTACCAAAGAAAGCAAAGGCCAGTGATTGAATTTTGGGTGGCTGGCATTGCTAATCTATAAAACAGCTAATAAGAGTTTAGTATTGTTCACCAACCAGTTTAGCATTTTGATAAGTTTGGTGACAAAAAAATGTTTAGCTGTTATGTATCTCCTTCACATTTATCAACATCTATAGGGTATATTCTCCCTTTCTTTCAGTAGTATGTGTCAGATTAGGCCCAAAAAGGGCCTAGTGAATATTTTTATTGATATCTGTAATGGAGACGCTATGTTGTTTTAGTTATATTCAGGCTAATCAAGTATCTAGTGTTACTAGTCTTCAACATAACCCACAGGGGCGGCTAGGAGAGGGTAAGGATGATTACTAGGCACCTACCACTGGCAGGCTGAAGTGCAAAGAGGAAAGAATGTGGCAGGAGGAGCTGTGCATTCTAAGAAAATTGCAAATGCAGTTATCTCAGATTCCAGTTAGTGATGAGTTGCTTGCTTTATTCTCTAGTCCAGTGTTTCCCAAACTTTTGACATATGTGTACCCTCTTCTATAATTTTCGTAACGCTGAGTATTCCTCGTACTCATGAGAACGTAGAATTAGGCGCAGCTAAGCACGGTGCAGTGCATATCCCCACCAAACTCCAGTGAAACGCGTACCCCCAACAAACTCTTCCCGTACCCCTGGGGGTACAGGTACCACACTTTGGGAAACACTGCTTTAGTCCATCTCCTATTTCATCTTCTCTCCCAGAAAGAGCAGCATAATGGTGAGATTACTGCTTAGATGTTTTAGAATACGAATTTGAATGAGGGGAAGAGGCTTGGTGAATGAAGAGTAGGAAGCTTTTATCAGGAATGTCAAAGTAGTAGTGGAGTGGGAATAACAGCTTCACTTGATAACAACTCATTTGCAGTGGGCGGTTAAGGCAGGCAGCAGGCCAGCATCACTACTTTATAAATAATAAATCCTCTGTGGTGGTGGTGTTGTGAAAGACACATGGTTAAGGTTGCATCAGCATTGGTATGGCGAAATATCACAAAAAGGGTGGGTCTGTCTGGAGAATCACCTGTTTGGAAAGGGATCAGGCTACAAATTACGTCCAGAACACCTTAAATATGTAGCATAATAATCTGGGATGTAACAGGGGGAACAAAAGTCATCAGCCAGAGATGGCACATATGCTAGGATATTCACAAAATACTCATAGAAGTGTATTCACTGGTATTTAGCATATAGTATTTCTGTACTGAGGAAAATAAACTAAAAGCATACCTCATTTCTGTTCTTCACGAGCCAATTTCACCTGTTTGCTACTTTCTTACAACTTGAAAGTGTGTAGCCAGTAACTGATCCTTAGGATGCCTTTTACCATTATAGCAAAAGGATTAAAGTAGAAACCAGCTATTGAGAGAAGTGAGAATGTTAAGAAATGTCTACCTCCTACCTCATCCTTTCCCTAATTACCTCTTACCTCTTTCCAAATGGTCATGTTATTTACGTCACCCATCATTCAGGAAAGATGCTATCAGTAAACCAAGATGGCTACACACAAAATGCCGTTGTTTTCCTAGCTGACATCTACTAGATAATTATCTTTGTCTAAACGAGCGCCAATTTTTCACTAGGAGGGGGTAAGTTTAGAATATGCAGTCTTCCAATTAACACTACTGACCAGTGAAAGTTGACAAGATCTAGATGCTTATATGAAATAGTTCAACCTTGTTTCATTTATAAAATCCACCAGAAATTATGGGGAAAATTATACGAGGATAGTTTATTTATAGGAATTTGATTTTACTTCTTAAATTATAATGGATATGTCTCAAACAATATGTTGGGAATTCATTCTTGAATAATACTAATAATTGATTTCTTCTTGAAGGAAAAACTATATCCAGCAATTCAGATATGGCAGAAGTGAAGTCCATGTTCCGGGAAGTTCTTCCAAAACAAGGTATTTAACACAATTACTTAAGTGATAGGATGTAATAGGAACAGAGGCAGTATCACATAGTAGGCTCAATAGCTAAGAATCTGAAACTACTGTGTTCTGTGTCCCACATTTGCTGTCCATCAATTGCTTTATTTTTCCCAGTAAAATGACGACAAACTAGAAAGCCTGTTATACTCAAGATTGCAGATTACAACCAAAATTCTTAAGAGTACTGTAATACACCATAATCTATACCTATAAAAGCCTAAGCAACCCTTACCAAATGATTTGAACAACCCGACAACCAGTCGCTATGACACACACTGACCACCAGGAGGCAGACACTCAATGCAGGAGCTGCCACTTGGTGGACAGTGCACTCCCAACAGCCAACTTCCCACAGCCCCTCCCCCTGTCTGTCTGGCTCCCTTCGACCCCTGGTGCTAAACCATTCGTAGAGACCTTCTTCTGGGTCAGGGTTTCATAGGTAGCAGAGTAGCTTCCTCGATCTATTGAAAGTCAGCCCTCAACACAAGAGTTTGTCTCACTCCCCATCCTCTCCCTTCCCCAGGGGCCACCTGCCTGCCATGGTGGCAGAGGCGAGTGGGGGAAGAGGTGGGAAGGCGGGGTGCTGATAGTGGTATTCCGCACCTGGCCCGGTAACTGTCACCTCCTCTCCTGGCCCCAGGCTGGGACAAGGAACCGGGGATGGGTTGTGGTAGATGCAGCCCCTTTCCCAGGGGGGCCGAGGGCTGGCTCCCTCCTTGGAGCCAAGGGCCAAACTCCCGCGATCTCTCCCCCACACCTTTGTGCACAAATTTGTGCACTGGGCCTCTAGTATTAAATAAGGTCTGAATCTGGGTAAAAAACAAAATCTAAATAATAAGAAATGCTGAAGTTTTCAGTCAAACACTCAGAAATTTGAATATTGATGTTAAATCAATACCATACTTAACTATGTATTTTTAGGCACTATACATTTCTCCCAAATTTTTTCAACTAAATATTTGACATGAGTTGTGTCTTATATAATTTAGAACCTTAGCTATAAAGTTTGAAACTTGTCTTCATGTCTTCATGAACTCCCTAGCATTAAATGCTTTTATGTTTATAAAATTTAGAAATGTTACAGGGGTAGACTATGAGAATAAGAGATTTTCATTAATAATGGGTTAAGTTTTTAGAACTTCATTCTAACTGCAAATCCAACTGCCAAACAACTGGATTATCTCAATCAAATTCTTATTTTTAAATTTAGGGCAGTTGTCTGTGGAAGATATAACCACAATGGTGCTGTGTAAACCCAAACTTTTACCCTTAAAATCTCTGACTATGGAAAAACTGGAGAAAATGCAGCAAGCAGCACAAGAAACAATTCGCCAACAGGAAATGGCAGAAAAGGACCAAAAGCAAATGACTCGCTGAATAACTTAGCACTTTCTAGCTATTAACAGTAGCTAGAAAATAATCCACCTGTATGCTGAAAATAGTATGTGTTAATAAAACTTATATTCATATAGGTAATATAAAATACCCAAGACTAATGAAACTTGTATGGTTTGTAATGAATGTAAGCCATTAAAACTAATCCAAATCTTGTGTGTTTTTTTACCCAAGTTTTTAGAAATACCAATTAAGTTAGTGTTCACCATTACTACTACACGGCTGATAACATTCTTAGGTACAAGTGACTAAATACAATTTTTATATTCAGAGAATTTTTAATGTTTATTAAAAACTAGATTTAGAGATATATTCTAATCTTGCATTAAGTACTCATGATGGGCTCTTATATTACCTAATTTTTAAAACTTGTTATGAATTTGATATGACATATCATGTTTAAGGCTATTTTGTCTTAAACAGATCCTACAAGTCATGACAAAACTCTATTTCTTAAACTTAAGAAACCCTCACCTGAGCTTTTAATTATACTAATTTCAAGGACTTAATGAAATAATGGCTATTTTATCATCCAGATATCAAAACCCTAGAAATGGAAAATAACATGGATTTAAAAGAGCTCAAGAGATAAACATGAAATTCAATCTGTAGTGTTAGTCCTAAAAGAGTGTACTGAAACCTGTAATGTAGCATATTCCCAAAAATACCTTTGTAAATTCTGAATATAATCCTTGATTGGTTGACTGCAATCAATAATAGACCATTTAAATTAGCAGACATTAAACCTTCCTGCATAATTAAGGCTCTGCAAAAGAAGTTAGAAATGTAATCATTCTTCAGATAATTATTTATTGGTAGCTATTATTTTCTCAGACATGGAATGCAAAACTTTGAGTCTCTTGAAGAATAATATTTTGAGACATTATTTGATAATAGAACTTAATTAAAGGCCCTGGCTGGTTTGGCTCTGAAGGTCTCAGGTTCAATTCCCAGTCAAGGGATTGCAAATTCAATCCCCAGATCTAGTAGGTCGGGATGTGTTTGGGAGGCAACCAATTGATGTTTCTCTTCTCTCTTTTGCTAATCCTAATCCCTTCCTTTTCCTTTCCCTTCATCCCTTCCACTCCCTCAAAAATATATAAATAAATGGAAAGAATATCCTTGGGTGAGGATTAACAAAAAAAAAAAAAAGAGAGAGAGAGAGAGAGAGAGAGAATGATGAAAGGTAATATATATTTTAGAAATTTCATAAGGCTAAAGATAAAATCTTTTTACAAGTGTGAAAGCTAAACAGCCAAATAGGAAATATGCATTTCCTAAGTATAATAGTAAAAGAAATTATTACTATTGTACTTCTGATATAAAAGTTTGTAAGAAAGTTTAAATTCACTAGGTTCAAATGCACTCCTTATATGATTTTATTTGCTAAGTGAATAAAAGTATTTTTTAAAACCTAAAATAAATGTACTCCCAATAAAAAATCAACACTGTTTCACATGTTTTATTTTGTCATACATTCTTCTAGAACCGGGTTCATTTTTCCAGTTTTGTAGAAAAATAAATGTTCCAGCCACCATTTACTTAACTGTCTAGTCTTTAAGACCAATCAATATGTTCCCTGGAAAGATGAATAAGTCCCATTTTTTTTAAATTCTTTAAGACAAAGAAATAACTTTTTTTTTTTTTTTACTCCCAAAGCACAGTATTTCAACAGCAGCAGCCAAAATGGGGTTTTAGCAGCTTAACTTTACCCCCTAAATAAAGCTTTGTATAAACCAGTGATTTTACTACAAAAACACTGTCCTTGGAAAAAAGGAATAGCAATCTGACATCAATGCAAAACTTGGAATGATTAGGTCATAAACATGGCACTTACAAAAGGTAGCTTATGAGAACATTCCACTTAAGAAGTGGTTACTTTTCTGTCCCTCCTTTACATCATCAAAAAAAAAAAAAAAAAAAAAAAAAAAAAGGAAACACTTCCATTAAAAATTCCCCTTAAATTTAAGTCTATAAAATTTCAGAAATGCCTTGTACCCAAAACAAGTGTTTAAAAACAAAACAAAAAAACTGTGCTAACAACTCTTACAATTCAGATATATATATTTTATAACATCTAAGACTGCAAGAGTTCTTATATTCAGTAGCTCTCTGGTTTAAGACGACCTCCATCTCCTTCACTTACAAAACGTTTTCTGCCCCTGTAATACAAAGAACATAAACATGAAGACATACAAATTCTGACTACAGTCAATTTAAACAACTTAAAACTTGATATTTCCTGGTTATTAAGTTTTAAAAGGTTTTATTGTGTTGTTTTGTTTTTTTTTAAAGTCAGTATGGATCTAAAGCTTTTGTAAAACCCTGTTCCTGCTATATTTTCCCTAGAATTCAATATCCTATTGAATAAAACCATAATTATTAAAATAAGTTCATTGTTCAAAGAGGGTTATGTTAAAAAATGTTAAAATATAGGACAAACATTTGTTACTTAGAAATTAACAGCCAAATAGAAAACAACAATCTAATCTGGAATTATGCAAAATAGAGCTATATAACCTATCAAAATATTCATGTTTAAAATATCTTTAAAAATTTTTTTTCAGATGTAGAAAAGCCGTAACCTGAATATGGAAAAAGAAATCAAATTAATTCCAGTCCATGCCCCTTTTGGGGATTCATGTTATTTCAAGTAACCTTGCTCTGTACTGTAACCACATTCTAACTACCTGTGGTAGCAATAGCCCAGGAGAAATAGTTGACCAGCAGCCTAAAACAATAAGCAGAAAACAGAGCTTGGCAGAATTAGCCCTTATTCTCTGACCCTACAACAACACACACTGGCACTTGAGACCACACACAAATATGCACTTCACAAACTAAGCAAAAGGAGAGAGGATAAATAGTCAAAAGTTAGGTATCTCTTCAAATGACACTTGATAGTAAAGCCATAACAGAAGTAACCGGTTAGAACTTTGAACAGAGACGGAAACTTTTAAAAAGCAAGTGCCAAAGTGTTGACCCTTTTTCACACTAAGTCTAACTATAAACTAGCTATATTTTCATGAACATAAAGGCATACACTGTAATGTTAGGAGGCCAAGGTGCGGAACAAAACAGTAAGTTGCAAGAAATCTTGCCGAAGTTAACAGTTTGATGTATACCACTTGACACATCAGTACATAAAGAATGCCATCAACAAGTAGAGATCTACATTTTCAAATATTTTTATCAAAGCCACTAAATTATATCTTCCACTGTTATCTTTTCCTTCTCTCTTAATGGCTTCTATTTTCTACAACAAGGGACACTGCCAGGAATTATTTCTCTGAGATTTAACACTCACAATATCCTTAAATAAAAATACCCAAACTTTGAAAAATTTTTGATGAAAATTATAAAAACTTAAAATGTATGTAAAATAGACTCACAAAGATTAGTATTATAAAGAGTTAGATCCACGTAGCACAAATATAAAGTTAACATCCAATTAGTTCCAATTCTCCATTCTATGAAGGAGCAAAAAGAAAGCAACTTAAGCCGAAGCCGGTTTGGCTCAGTGGATCGAGCATCGGCCTGCGGACTGAAAGGTCCCAGGTTCGATTCCGGTCAAGGGCATGTACATTGGCTGCGGGCACATCCCCGGTAGGGGGTGTGCAGGAGGCGGTTGGTCGATGTTTCTCTCTCATCGATGTTTCTGGCTCTCTCTCTCCCTTCCTCTCTGTAAAGAATCAAAATATATTTAAAAAAAGAAAAAAAAAAGAAAGCAACCTAAGAGTATAGGAATGATCCTAATATCTTTGAAGCCAGAAAAAGTCTGGATTAATCCTTGGCCTCTACCATTTGTGACCTTAGAAAATGTATATGATGCCTCCTTAAGACTCAATTTTCTCATTGATGATTAACACTGACACTAAAATAGTGTTTATATTACTTAGAACAGAACTGCTCCACAAAATTTGACTGCCAGTGGTTTTATGAGTTTGAAGTCACAAGAGGGCAAAATAAGCTTCACCCTTGTTTCTCCATAAACACAAAATAGATGATTTTTCAATCTTGAATAGCTCCATTTATTAATAATATTATTTTTCTGACAGAACTGGAATGATGGAAAATTAGCTTAGCCTTCCAAGCACCTCAGTATTTTAAGCTGAAAAAGTAATAAAATACCTTGAAGGACAAAGATCTCTGAGTTGTTTGGAAATTATTCCAGCCTGAAAACATTCTTCTACAAATTTCTCAAGCACGGAGTATGAATATGGGACATCCAGATTAATGTCCGGAATTTCATTATAAATTCTCTCATAACCCTAAAACAATGAAATTGTATACAGAATTGTTAGCCCATACAAAATACATAATGCCATACAATTCTTCACTGTCATAAAGCTATATTTAAGGCCAAATGTTTATATAATAAGACTAAAGTCAGGTCTGAACCTTGAAATAGGTACATTTGTTATAGAATGTTTTATTTAAAACTGTTCTCTCAAATGATCTTGAGGCAGACAGATATAGGACACATTTCTTTCCCATATACTTCTCTTTATACAGGGATGGGCAAAAGTAGATTTCCAGTTGTAGTACAAATAATACAATAATTAATAAATAGTACAAGAGTAAACTGGTTCTTGTATAACTGTAAACCTACTTTTGCCCACTCCTGTACATTTACATTTTTTTAAAAAAAGGCAAGAACCTCACCAAAACTTTAATAGCAATGCATACAATTTTAAATAGAAATTATTTTAAATTTGCTAAATGTTTGTTTCTACTTAAATATAAAATAGAAATTATATCTTAGAAATAGAACTCTTGACGAAGAACACACAATCACATTTTTTAAAATGCAGGTTAAAAAAACCTACTGAAGTGTTACTTTCCAAAAAATGACTGCCAAGAGATTCAGACAAACACTACTATTTAAAAACAAAGAACTATACACATTCTACTGCTAACCATATCTAAAGGAAAATTTCATTATCTTTAATCAATCATATATTTAAGGTATAAGCCTACAA